AAAAACAACATTTCCAATTCAAATTTCCCGTTACCTCATGTTTCCACATCATCAACATTTTATCCAATCAAAATGCATCACATGTTAAAAAAATATTGAAGAGATTTGGAAAACCAATCCCTCTCCGTAATCCTTAATCCCTTCTCCACTGTTTTCGGTGGTTATTTTATTTATATTATTAAAATATTTAGTCAGCTATTCTTTGGACTCTTTTCTGGAAAAATAATTCCCCTACTGCGTTCTCTGGGAACCTTTCTTATATGGCCTTTAAAATTAATACAAGTTAAAAGCTTACACATGAGCATATAAATTTAAGTGCATCTACAATGTTATTATTGGTAACATCTACCATACATCAAACGTTTCTTGAACATATATGATCATAATGTTTATAGTGATTGTAAATTTAATATATACATTACTTTTATATATTTATTATTCAAGATGCATGGTGGTTTCATAGGCATCCAAGTTTCATGGCATATAATATAAATGCTCTATTAATTATGAATGTTGCATGTATTCATAGTGTTGGCGTGCACTATAAATTATCAACCATATATTTAAAGATCAAGTCAAGACGTGAACGCTCGATCATTTGTTTCTTTTCTATATGCGTAATATAGATTTGTTTTTAGTTAGGCATTATTCAAGAGATTTGAATTTGGACCTCTTCAAGAACAATGTTATACCAGTAAACTAGACCCTTTTTCACAACCCTCGACCATTTGTTGAGTGCATTCATTGGGATAATATACATAGTCATAATATTAACAAGACTTTATAAATCACCATGGATGGTATGATTCGAAATTATACAATTGAATCAAGATGAATTGGTATGTTAAATATTGCCATAGGACTCTGATGGCTTTAGTTAATAGCGAATAATCATGTATTAGGAGGTCAGTAGCTTAACTTGGAAACATGAATGTTTTCTATATTTTGTACAGATAATAACTTATATTCGGTCAAGATAGCAAAACCCTTCATTGAAGTTGCATGCAAACGACAACTAAAAGGTTTCATAATTATTTACAACAACATTAAAGATGAGAATTTAAAAATAACTTAACCATACATAAGGATATTTCTTTTTATTGCTTATCCATCTATCCTCGATAAACTGTGCAAAAAATTGTTCAGCACGCATGATCGCACAAAAAATAAATTACGGGCCTAAAAAAACTTTATTCTCACAAAATAAATCAATTAACATAAGTAAAAGTAACGGACCCGGCCGTTGAAGAAAGCTAGTAATGAGTAAAAAGATGAGCTTTTCTATTAGGACTCACTAGCAGTGCAGAGTATAGACAGGGAAAACTGAAGTTACATGATAAAACGGTCTTTTGTGCTGCTCTCACATGAGAGTGATGTCACTGTTTATGATTCACATATTTGATACATTTTTTCATCAATGTATCTTTAGCATATTTTTCTATATAATATTTAAGGTAGAAATCATGATTATGTGATCAATGTGCTTACAATTGACCTAGGATGGGTTTTGTATCATTTTATGCATTTTTGGTATTTTTTTTTTGTTTTTCAAAGTTGAGTTCATTTTAGGATAACATGGATCATCAAATGGATTAATTGGAGGATCAGGAGGGACAATTACTATAAGATCAAGGTGATGCGTCCATTAAAAGAAGCCAAATGGAGGGGAAGCCTTCATGAAGTCGTCATTAAAGCTCAAGAGGAGTCAATTGGAGAAATTTTAGCCCAAACTCATGAAGGAACCCATGGTGGCCTTGTGTTGGTGCCAACTGCCGCTGGGCAAAACCCACGGCGGCTCCTGCCGCTGATCGACTGTCGTTGGCCCAAACACTAAGAATCTTATGAAATATATTTTTCTTTATCTTCAAGTCAAGCAATCCGAGTCCCAGTGGCATCAGGAAGCCTTTGTAGACTTATGAACACCCTCTTTCTTTCACTATAAATAGATGGTTAGGTTAAGGGATTTAATTGGCTGCAACCATTCACTAAATTACTTTGCAGAATTCGAGCAAGCAGCCACTGATAATGAGTTTGGGGGATGCCGAATTAGCATTCATAGGAGGGTGCAGATTAGGACATGCCTTCATCATTGATGGTGGTACCATCCTTCTCTTAGTTCAAATTCATTGTTAAGGATGTGAATTCAATTGATGTTATAACATCGTCTTTATATGATATAATGAGATAATTTAGTCATTATTTATATATTTATGTATTTCGATGCTTGTATCATTAGATGCCTTTGTCATGTGATGCTTATGTTATTCAAATATCATAGTTTATGATGCTTTACTCATGCGATGCCTACATCATCTAGTGAATACTCGACTTGGGATGCCCTAACTGGAAGGGATAGAGATGCATGATACAAGATGCATCATTGCTTATTATTGAGACTAAGGTGTGTGATCATCTAGGATTAGGTTTTTTATCAATGCGTATCGAAAACCACTAAACATAGGGAATTTCAACTCATTGATTTTGTTGGGTCTTTCTTTGAGCATTAGATGATTCGTTGTGAGAAGTTATTTTCATAAAGCCTTGTTGAATACGACGTTAGAAAATCTAGATTTTTATAACTTTGATTGCATTGAGATGACTACTAAACGCATTGCACATCAGGTTTTTCGCGTTTTTGCCAGGAATTTGTAATAGTATATGAAAGAATTTAACCGTCTTATGTCTCTTTATTATGTTTAGATTTAGTTTGTTATGTAGAATTTTCATTTATGAGTCTAGTGTCTACTAGAAGAGAAGAGAAACAGAAAACCAAAAGATGTGAAGAAGATCATCATGGAAGGAGGAGCATCGAGTTCACCTTTGTTGAGATTCAAACAAGGAGCATCTAGCTCATGACAGGAGAAAGCTTCAAGCAACACTAACTTGAGTCCAACTCGAGTTAGGAGAAGAAAACTGACGAAGACTGCGACATTGATTCTGAAAAAAAAGCATCATATGAAGCATCTTCCACATTAACCACGATGGAAGATGAGCAAAGAATGATGATCCCACCTACTCTTTTTGAGTATTCAAGACCAGAAGCTTCAAAATCTCTTTGATTATTTCTACACCACCAACAACCATGCAGATCATATCATTAATGCACATGGTGCAACAAGCTGGAACATCCGCAAGAACGAGTGATGACGATTTGGTGCAACATCAAAAGAAATTCTTGGAGATTGTAGATTTTATTCCTAGAGATGAAGCCCCCAATTGTGCCATTCGAAGGTGAGTATTCCCTTTCACACTGGCAATAAAGACGAAAAATTTGCTAGACTATCATCCGCCAACACCTTCACAAATAGGAAGGCCCTATCACAAGCATTCATCGAGGAGTTCTTTCTACCTTGCGTACAAAGTAGCTTAAAGACGATATCAATCAATTCCAACAGAAGGAAGGAGAGAATTTCTATGACGCTTGGAAGATATTCCAAGAGTATCTAAAGGCTTTTCCCCACCATGAATTCACCATGGAGCACCAAAGGTCTAGAAGGAGATACCACAATAATGGTGAACCAGCCAGCCAATTACTAAAGTCCAATGTGAGGAGCATTACACCACACTTACAAAGAAGTCAATGAATTGGTCAAAGAGATCAAGGATAAAATTGTAGCCTTTGAAATATGAATCTTTAACTTTTATATGGAGGGCATGACTAGTTAAATTTATTCTTATATGTTTTGAAGGCTAATATGTATATGTATGTAATTGTTTATGGCTAATAAATAAATTAACCATTAGTTACAATAATTATACTAAACTTGATAAGTAATCTTTGACGGTTCATTATTTAGAGTATAAAGTATATGGTTAGGGTAGGGTGTATATGTTTAAAGTATAAGAATTGAAGGTTTTAACGGTTCTAAGTTTTTTATTAACATATGTTCACTTTTAGTCATTTGAAGTCTTTAACAGTAGGGGATCCCTTTTCAATTTATGTTTATGGTACGTGGCTGGGGTACAATGTATGTGGTGTAAAGTATAGGATATATGGTTAGGGTATAACAATTAGCAAATATCACTTTTTATCTATGTTTTGAAAATCAAAGTATGAATTTCACTTTTAAATTAACTATACTAGCAAAATCACAACTCAAGGACATATGGTTAGAGTATAGGGTATAGGGTATGTGGTTAGTGTATAATGTATTGATGATTTAGGGTATACAATCAACAACATATACTAACTTAATATTGTTGATTGAGGGTAAGGCTAAGTGTATAGAATATATGTTATTGAGTAAGTTATGATTGAAGTCACAATAATTTTACTAAGTTTGATAGTTAATCTTTAATGGTTTAATTTTAAGAATAATTCGAACAATTTTACACATAATTCGTTTGGCAACAGTTTACCGAAGTTATTTGGGCAATGAGTTATTTCGAAATAACTCCTTTATCACTCTGCTTTTGCCAAATACCACACGACAAATACCAAATTTGCATGGTTATACTAAACGAGATACTTTAATCCAATTACTACTGAATTAATATTAAAATATCAAATAAACAATTAATGGTGTCTTTTGGTTGTAAATATTGATATCACCATTACTATTAGCTAGTGTACTTTATCAATTATGATTAATTGCATAACAAGTTTGCAAGTCATACAAATTGATTTAACATTTTGACTAGTTTTTTACAAAAAAAATTAAGTATATATATATACGAGGTAGAAATAAATTGGTTAAAAAGTTGAGAAAATATTTTAAATTAGTGTAATAAAATGTGTAAGTTGGTAACTAGTAATGAGTAAGTTACTCGATGCGCTGGCCCGAACAACCCGAAACCCAATCCGCCCGCAACCCGCCCGACCCAAAACCCGATGAACCCGCAACCCGACTAACCCGCAATCCGTTTGAACCCGAACCCAATAAACCCAAACCCGATGAACCCACAACCCGACTAACCCGCAACCCGTTTAAACCCGAACCCGGTTGAACCCAGCCCGAACCCGCCCTATTGACACCTATACTAGTTATTACTAGTGAGTAGTGAAGGCATTTGTCGTTTTTCGAGGCAGCTTCTTCCCCAAAGCTGCATAAGTCTGCGTGCGTTGCGAACAAAAACCTTCGCAAAACCCTCCCTCTCCAACTCTTCCGTCATTGCCTGTACTCGCGGATCTTATCGGCGAACGGCGAACCAGAGAATAAGAGATAGACTATTTCTCAGTGGCGGGACGAAAATGGGATTGACGAATTTCATCCTTACCATCGCCGGTGTCAGCGCGGTGGTTCTCCTTCTGAGGAGCGACGTCAAGCAGTCGGCCGTCATCCTCCGCCGCAACGTCAAGCACATCCGAACCTGGCTCGAAGAAGAATCTGCCGCCGCTTCCAAGTAAGCCTCTCGATTTTCGGCGGGGGGAAAGTTCGATTTCCCACGTTAATTTTGCGCCGTTTGTTTGAACTTCGATTTTGAATCCAATTTCTGAATGTGAATCTATTTTGCTTCCAATTTCTCTCCTCCGAAATTGGCTTTCTTACTGGGAAATATGCTAGTTCAATAGGCGCATGGCGGTTTGAATGGATGGGTTCTGGATTGTTAGGGATTTGGAAGAGCTTTTTCACGCCATCTCTTTTGTGATTTTGAAGATGAAATTTCTGTTCTGGGAGCAAGCTAAGTAATGTAGGCTCATTGTGCTGCTTTCTTTCTACTCGAGACTTGAGAGTTTGAGAGGCGCAAGTAGAATAAATGGTGCCTTAGAGGCTTTGGCTACCTTGTATTTTCAATTGCTTCTTTTAGAGGGTTTACAGCAGCTCTTGGAAATATATAGAGGTAAGTGAAGAACCCTTTTGCATAGGAGCGGATGTGTTCATAATTCTGCCCAGTCTATGTTATGGAGGGACAGAGTTATGTTGTGGATTTTTCATTTTCCCACTATATGGATTGCTGTTGCGACTTGCAAGGTTTAGAAAGAGAAGATGGGAAAGAAGTAGTTATTCATAGTAACTTAGTAAGGCATTCTCTTGAGAGATGGCTGCTTGAATGTTTGCGTTTTGCCCCTTTTGCTGTCATAGAAGTGGCTACAGGAGCCTACTTTCTATCAGGCGATTTGGTACCCTTTCGAGGTCCAAGTAATTATACCTTTTTGAATATCTCTTGTTCTGCAATTTTGGTTTTCTAGGGTCATAACAGGATCAGGTTAGGATTATCTTTGTTTTTAGGGGAGAAATGGTGGGAAGAACAACACTTTGACAATTTGGAAGTAATTTGTTCATTGTCTTTAGTTTCTATTCCTCTCTATGCTTGGTGATTAGCATATAGTCAATAGCTATATAATGACTCTCTAGTAGCGACTTCTACAAGCGTAGTCCTACCAACTGTAAATAGCGTAGTCTTTAGGGGACTTGAACTGATTAATTATCCAGTTTGTGCTATTTAATTCTGTTCCGATGAAGGTGCACAACACACTTTTAGGCGGCTGTTGGTTTTATTGAAGTTTAGGTAATAAACCATCATGCGGTGAAACTTGAATAAATTACGCCCAACTGCTATTGTGTTGCTCATATGATTGTTTGATCCATATGGAAACGGGACTCATGGAGAGATTGTGATTTTGCTCGGCATTTCTTTTAGCTTTTACAGTCTACTATATGTACTAGGAGTCAATCTACAAGACTTAATTTGACCTACTTATTATTGAGAGAGTTGAGTTAATGTAAAGAGAAACTAATTGAAGGGTATTTGTGTTACTTTTTCAGGGCTGATAAGGCAACGCCAAAGGAACTAGAAACCAAGGTTCCCCCTAAAGAAACTCCCAAGGAAGAGAAGGTCTAAGCAACACCGAGTCTCAATGGCAGGGAAGCTTGCAATGTCTAGATAGGCGTCCCAGGAGTCTAGTTAAGCTACTATTAAATAGTTTCGGTGCAAAAATTTTATCGATTAATTGCGATAGCAGATATTTTGTCGAATTCTGGTCTCGCTTTTCTCTTGTAATTCTTACTCATTAAATTATGTTCATTCTCATTCTCATCTAAACCAATGTTGTTCATGAATGCAGAGGATGAACAAATTTTGTTCAAACCTTGAGATGATAAACGAATCATGGCATTAAATATACCTGATGTGGATTTTGCCATATTTAACGATCCTCTTAGTGTTGGGATGAACCAATTTTGCTAGACATCTTGTAATTCTCACTCATTAAATTATGTTCATTCTCATTCTCATCTAAACCAATGTTGTTCATGAATGCAGAGGATGAACAAATTTTGTTCAAACCTTGACATGATGAACCAGTCATGGTAAGGAATATACCCAATGTAGATTTTGGCCTATTTAACGATCCTCTTACTGTTGGGCTCCCATGGAAAATCATAACGACTCAAGCCCAATAACTAGAGCACTTCTACTATGCTATATAGTATTAGTACTTTAATGTACAACTTGAAGTTGTACCACAACATTAAATGTATAAGTTTAGGTTTTACCATAAAACAATTTGTAGTATTGTATTATGGTACAAATTCACATAAAGGTACAAGTTCAAGTTGTACCATAAAAGAATTTGTACAAAAAGTATAGGTACAATTTGAAGTTGTACCATAACATTAAAGGTACAATTTCAAGCTGTATCATAAAAGCAAATGCCTATAGCATTGGTGCTATATAGCATCATAAAATTTCTCCCATAACTAAAGGTTGAGAGCTCCTAGCGATAAGGAGCTGAAACCACCCCAGATGTTTGCAGAGCGATAACTTACCTAGCTAAGGATAGGGCCTAGGGGTGTCAGGTGTACAACGGTTCAGTCCAGTTCATTGGACTAAATCAAATTCATAAGAACTGCAGTTCAATAGTGAAAAACATTTTAGCACAAAATACCATATCAATATTACATTCAATTTGATTTTGTCTAGTTTAAATGTCAATTCGATTATTGTTTTATTAATTATAAAATAATGCTACCAAGGACTGGACCATGTCCATATTATAATTGGTTTCAGTATGATCCGATCCAAGTATCAATTTGATTTGGTGTGTTCCGTTACGGACCAAACTGTTGCACACCCCTAGCTAAGTTGGCCAAATGCCTTGAAGTAGAGTCATGCCAACCGAGTCTGACACTACATTAAATGCTAACAGTAAGTCTTAAAGTTGACTGTAGGAAGGCTTGGAGCCCTTGACACAACATCAAAGACATAGGTTAACCACCAAAGACACTATAAAAATCACCATGGTGAATATTTAATGATAACTGAACTACTCTTCTATATACTAGCTTTCTTACCTGCCTGTTGGGCGGCACATTTGTAGTTGTGTTTAATATTTTTTTCTAATGTTTTTTATGATTCATGTATGTTAAATTATTATATATTGAATTTTAAATCTCACTTACTTGAATTTAGATATTTTTATGCACTTTTATATCTTTCGTTTATTTATGAAAATATAATTTTTTAAATGCGCTCTCGGTAGACCTTTCTTTATTGATCTATAAGTTTGTATCGAACCCAAAATTTAGGATATAAACATAATAGATTATTAAGTTTTCAGCACACAATAGTGACAAATAAGTTAAAAAATTAATTAAGCAAATATTTTTCAAGTACTAAAAAATAAGCGAAGAGCTTTTCTTTTTTTTTCTCTTCTAGTATGTTGGTATATGATAATACATAATATCACACTCTAAATCCCACGAACATCATGAACTATGAGTTACTTGTGCAATTTTGAAAGAATGAGGATACGCATTGGCATCCACATCATCAATTTTCTGCTTTTTCGTTTAATTTATCTTTAAAATGCTCTAGCAAAAAAAACCAAATATAGAACTATCAGTTGTCACTAATTTATCAAAACAATATTTTTCAACAAGCTAAACTGCATATAAACACAATTTATATTTTGTAGAGAGCTACATACCCTCTACAAAAAATAATGGTGTATTTTTTCTACCTAATAACAACATAGATAAAATTGTTAAAGCTGCATAGTTCAATAAAACTCAACTCATTGTTTCTTGTAGAGTCCTCATTCATGAACACGATTGATGCATCAATCCAAATAGTTGTTGTTAAGAAAACGATCAGGCCAAAATCAAGCTTTACTTAGGGATTCACTTAGGCCAAAATGTACGCTAAAAAAACAGACATATATCATTAAAAACGTGTAGAAATTGAAAGAACGTCTATATAGAAAACTTAGAGACCACCATCACCAATTTCTTTCTTCTTCGCACCTTTATAAAACCCCACATGTGTTCCTTTCTACTTATAACCCTAACAACTCTGCTTTCTGTTTTATCATCCATGGAATCGGGTTGCAATAGGAAAGTAAAACTATCGATTATTCAACCAAAGGAGTGATACTCTAAGACCAAGCAATAAACCCTTCCAATTATCTATTACATATTTACATAAAAGTATATGACATAATAGAGAACCATAAAACAACTACTTGAAAAACAAAGAATAAATACATCCGTTGATTTGAGTAGGGAAATTTACTATCCACCTTTGTCATTTGGAAGAAATTAAGAAACAATTGGAAATAATATTTTAACCTAGCCAGTCAACCGCAAACAACCACATATCTCTAGGAAAAAGAGACCATTTGTTAGCTGGAGATCAAGGGGGAAGAGGGAGCAATGTCCTCGGATTCGTTCGATTCATCTTCGCAATGATATGATGAACTTTTTTTATTTGTCAATAGTCAAACATATGTTACAGTTGCTCAATTGTTTCCCATCTGATCATTGCATCATGTAACTCCATCCTCATATTCTCTTACAAAGAGGAAAAACTTCATATGCCTTACTATTTTCTTTTCTGTATCTATTTGCAAAAAAGTATAGAAGAGAAATGCTAGAAATCTCAACATTTTAAGCAAATAAGAAAGAGCTGTATTTGTTTTTATGGGGTTTGATGTAATTTATTTATTTTCTTATTTTCAATGTTGAGATTTATTTTTATAGAGAGATTTGTATGAGAAAAGGGAGAGGAGCAACCCAAAATGTTGAATTCCTTGTTATAAACTTATTTTACATTTTATTGATAATGATGACAATTTAAAGAGTAAAAAAATGTTAAGAAGCAAGAATCAAAACTTGTCTACGGTGGAAGGGTGAAAGGTAGCCATGCGCTGATGTGACAATAATTTAGTTTAAATTCCTATAATATTAAGTAATGATAATGCTGCTTTACAATTTTGTGAATTCTTTTATGAACTTTATGAATTTATACAAACATGTGAAATATCACATACATTTGAATTCTTGGATGTATTGTAGACAAATCTATTGTAAATAGAAATTGCTTACTATTACAAAATAAATTATTTCAATTTGAGACTTTGATATCTAAAACGTTTTTGTTATTCCCAAAAGTTGCCATGGAGTTATAGACTCACACCATATAACCAAATGACTTATTACAATTGCATTATTAAACTCATCCTTATTAGAGATACTTTGGTTCAACCCAATACCTTGATTTAGATTCTTGTAACTATAAAAGGTTTTTGTTTAGATATATCAACCAACAAACTGATGTTTATTTATTGCCTCAATCCTCGAATTTTGATTTGTCTTCATTTTAAAAGATATTCAATTATTAAATGAAAATGGTCAACCTTTATTTGATCAATTCCTAAGTCAGTGATTGATGAAACGTGATGTTTATTGTATATTCTCAACAAAGATTTCTTTAACCTTTACTTGTGTCATTTTTTAAGGTAACTTGTATCTCGTCATAAGGTATGAAGTCAAAGTTCGTCAAAAATCATGCTTAAGTTATTTTGAAAACTTTGATGTATAATCCTCGACGATAACTATAAATATGAAAAGAAAACTTATTAGCATACATTTTATGACCTCAATTTAGCTTGCTCAACCAAAATTATCTACAACAAATATTTTAATATGAACTTAAAACAAATTATAAAATATTGTACATGAGTATATGATTTCTCTTCATTTGAGAAATTTCAGGTAGAACATGAATATATGTTTTCACTTAATCGGGATGAATAAAAATATTGTTAAGAAATAATTAGTATTGCTCGATCAAGTATATATGCCGACCTTTTGCTATATAACGATTATTCTATTTGGTAGACATATATATTATAAAGAAAAGAGTGTTCAATATATAAAGTCATATAGTTCATTTTTCAAAGTCGATCGATTGTCAAACGCTTGTTTTGTCTCTTTCTATAGTTATATTTTATTTAATTGACAAATATATTATTATTTATGTGTGTACTTCTTTAAAATTTTCATCAAAATATAACTTATTATTAAGTTTTGGTTAAAATGATTATATAATTTACTTGATAAGATTTAAAACATATATTTTTTTGTTTAAACAAATGCGATATATGTAATTCTCTGTTTCCATCTTTATATTTTGTTTAATTGACAAAATATTGTTATATATGCTTGTTTTTGTTTACATTCTCACGAAGATGTAACTTATTATTAATTTTTTGTAAAAGTAAGTATAAATATTAAAAGAAGAGCGATTGCTTCATAAATAGATCACTAATAAATTTTGTTGTTAGCAAAAAAAAATTGCCACTTTTGCAACTTGTAAATTCTCGAAGTGCTTATGTGGCAAAAAGTTAATTTTGAATTGCCATAATATATAGTAAATATAGATAGATAGATAAACACTTCTAATATGCTCTAAAGTATGGGTGCTTTAATGTACAACTTGAAATTGTACCATATGTTAAATATATAAGTTTAGGTTGTACCATAAAGATATTTGTACCCTTATGTTATGGTACAACTTTACAACTTAAATAAGTTGTACCATCACCTATATGTACAAGTTCAATTTGTACCATGAAAGAATTTGTACAAAAGAGTATATGTACAATCTAAAGTTGTACCATAACGTTAAAGGTATAACTTCAAGTTATACCATAAAGGCAAAAACCTATAGCACCAATGCTATATAGCATAGTAAAATTCCTTATAGATAGATAGATATATGTATAGATATAGATTATATCTCTATTTTTCTCTCTAACTTAAACTTCAAAGAATATTCCAGATGTGAGTAATTATGCATGAGAAAACTTTAAAGAATTGGACACTAGAAATTTATAGGATGTAGAACTTGATTGAAGCTGACTTGTATGG